CACTCCCACCAATCCGCTGCCTATGCACACCCGTTCCCCTCTGCGAATCATCCCCTATCAAACACGCCAACCAATTCCGCAACCTCCTCTCTATATCTAAGCCAGCCATGCTACACACACGCACACAGCCCACTCACCAGCAACACGACTACCCATCTGCACACCACCGCACCGTAGCCCTGCCACCCTTGCACCCAAAAATCCTTTCCGCGGCACGCCCTAGCAAACCAACGTCAGCACAGTCGCCTCTTCATACGCTCCCCCCCACGCCCAAACACTCCCAAGCAAACGCCACAAATCCCTCAAAACCTCTTCCTCCATTTCTCAACTTCACTCCACCCAGCACATAAACCCACTCGTGTCCATAAACCCACCTAGTCCCTCCATTTCAAAATTACACACCACACAACACAACTCACGGCTAAACTAAGCCACTCAAATTACGAACGCAAGCCTCCTAACACTCGCTCCCTAAGCTCTTCTGAAACAGCAAACCACCAATACACATGAAAATACGGGGAGGCTCCCAACGCACAGTCTCAGTGTCCTGAACCCGCCCCCCAACACACCTCCAACATGTGCAGTACCTCTACACACACGCGGCCGAACCAAGCTCAACCCATCCACCCATAGTATCTGCTCAGCGGCTTTGCTCATCACTGTGGGGCATGCATGACTGACACGCAGTCGTCCTTCTAATCACCACCACTCTCTACAAAACCCAACACACCTACCTACTCATCTCCCAAGCACCCACCGAATCCGTTTCAGGCGACCAGCGTCCTGTCCACTCACTTCCTGTGACTCCTGAAATGTAGACCCAACATGCTCGAAGAGCATATCCACACTCTGCACGACAAAGTGCTTGGAAGCACACGCTTCCAGCCTTCAGTTTCCTCAACTGCAAGTCTGATCCCTCCACGTCGATGGTCGGCATACTACCTGCAAATCCAAAGGCTTCCACCACAGCGCATCAACTCATACCTAAGACACCTAGTAAGACACACACCCACGTAAGGCCAACCATGCCCGCTCGCAATCCCCACCGCCCTCCCTACGCAAGCCCATTCGCCTCTAGAGATCATCCAATACAAAACGCACCCAATTACTGCACGCCTTCCTCTCCACCGCCACTGCGGTATTCCTAGACGCACCCAACCCAACACACTCGGCAGCACCGCGTCTACGCATCTGCGAAACAGTGCACCGTACGGCTGCTACACTGACACTCCAAACTGATTCCCACAGCCGGGGTTGGCAAATCGAGGCCGTCACTATTGTTTCGATGCACGGTCGGTGATCTTGTAGCCCCCTGGTTTGGATAGGTTGGTTGGCATACTCTTCTTCGCTGTCCCGCCTCCACTGTTTCGTCATCTTCATCTGTTTGCTCCGGTTGCTGTCCAGGTTGAAGCACAGGTTCAGGTTTTTGGGGGTCCAATGAGCCTGCAGCGTGCAACAAGCTCCCTACAATAAGAGCCAACAGAGCGGCTAAGAAAAGGCCAAGCCCTTTTGTCCCTCTGGAAACATTGGGACCCACGGGAGATGGAGAACTGAGTCCTCCGACTGCGCCTCTGCTATCGGCCAAGGTCCGATCTCCGATTTCGTCAGCAGTTCGAGCCTCTTTAGCTCCTTCCGTCCCATAGGCGGCGGCGTCGGCACCCCCGGCAGCTGGAACGCCCGCCACTTCCCCAGAAGCCCCAACCGCAGTAAAAACTGCAACGCACCCCAAAAACCATAATGTCGGTGAACCCACGATCTTCATTTTCTAAACTCGCCGTGTAGTGTTCTGAGGCGGCCTTCTGACAGGTGGGGATGTCCTTCCCACAACAAGGACAACGTGCTGTCGTAAGTACTAGGCATACAAGGGGATCCAATACACACAGAGTAAATTACATGTCTACCACATGTTTTTACAGGTCTTGCGGAAATCGTCCCGACCGGCGCTGGCGACTGCCCTCCGCATTGGGGCTGCAATTACCGTGCCTATTAACTTGTGTCCAACCATGCTAATGCTGTTCGCGCCACAGTTTCCTATACACAAATTGAATCTTTCCACTCTCTTTGCTCAAGTTTTCTCGTTCCCCTCAAATGTCATGCCGGTTATGGGTCTCAAGCTTTTACTTTGTGACGACCATCGATGGGGTAGCCCAACACCCCCGGCGCCGGTCGATGCTAAGCACGCAAGACGTAGATTGTTCTGGGCCTAGTCTCGGTAGGTGCAGATGTATTAATTTGTCCCAAATAGGAGTTGTAACCAGCTCGTGAGAAAAGAGAGACTATCGGTGAAGTTCCAGGGCGAGCTCATTGAGCTGGAGGCAAGACGTGGTCTACGGAGCATTTCTGCTCAAATAGCTTTTTGTAGTTGAATATTTCATCGCATATTCATTTATAATGTGTCTTTTACCCGTATTATGCTCCGTTCTCAAACTCGATGTGAGCAAGCTTGATGTGTGCTGTGCCCCTGCACTGACTATCTCACGTCTGGTAAAGCAGACCGTAGCATGGCTTGTGCTATGCTGGTATGTGTATCGTTATTGGCGTTGCACGGTGCCTACAAAGAGCCGGATAAATGTCCAACAAGTGTCTATGGTGTGCATGCAGCAGAGGGAGCCTGATTGCTAGCGCATGTGGGGTTGCCTTGCGGCACCAGTTACAGAGACGTGCGCTACAGCTCACACGCTGCCTCCTCTCCCTCAGCCCCAAGCCCAAGCCGTTGAGAAGCGGTGTCCAGGACTCCTGGGGAATGGAAGGGGATTCTGGTGCTTTATAGGGAATATAGCCGTGTGTAGTTTCGTTCACGTGCAGCTCACGACGGTCTTTAGGGGAGGTCGTCTACTCTCGTTACACTTGGACCCTCATGGTGTATCGGGACGAGAGCAAACAACGAACTCCACTCCCACAATAGGGCGGTCTGGTGCACAACAGTAACTTGCTGTAGTCTAAAAGGACCACATGCTGTCATATCTGTATTAGAAACTGAGCCCTTCTCTCCTCTTATACTGGATATTTGTCGGGATCTGTCCTCTGGTGGGGAGCATTTCCTTCCCTAGAATGCTGTAGAGGAGCTCAAGTTGCTATTGTCGTCTTTACTACAAGCTGAGGGAAGACAATGATGGTAATAGCTAAGCCAGGGGAACTGCTTTTCGAGTGCACATCAAGACTCTGAGAGCAACCCGAGATCCGCTGTGACGTAGCTTATTTCCAATTCAACAATGCAAAAGGCTATGGCGAAGCTGAGAAAACCTAAGCAAGGGAAGCTGTCGATGTAGTGCAACATGGAGACGTATCATTCGTTAGTGGGCAGAAGTCCAATGGTGGACGCGGAGCTCCTAAACCAGTGGCTCATAGTCATGGGGAGAGAACCAATGAGTGAAAGGAGTGAACACGGCGATATAATGTGCGCAATAAAGAGTTAAACACCGGTTCGATCGCTCTACCTGAGCAGGAACAAATCGGGGTTGGAATTGCTGAAGAGATAGACCCAACGGATGCTGGGGCCATGAATGCCATCCCCACATCCAAAGAGGAGGGGCAAGAACAGACGGCAGCTGGCGAGTCTTGCACGCAGAAAACAAGTTGGACTTAGCAGGTGGCCTATCCACTGACGCTTTCGTCTATCTCAGGCGGGAATACTGCCAGTGCCGGCTAATATTGAAGCCATTCGGACGTAGCTGATACCCCTGTGCTCTCGCACGGATGTTCAGACGTTCCTCCGTCTCGCATGCGTATCGCTCATCTGCGATGATTCCCGTTTCCTTTTCTAATATACGTTCTCCTTGGGGTCTGTGATTCTTGCAATAGGTGACCTGCCAAGCGCCGCATCATAGACGGTGATCGCTTGTAGGACCAGACAGAGCTTGGAATCCGCCAAGTAGGAGTTCCCGCTTGGCTCCGCAGAGACGTTTTGTGCAAAATGGATGATCATGCTCTAGCAGGCCTCCGTGTAGTGAAGCGAAAAGTGGAGCAGGCGCACAGGTCCTTTCGATGAGCGACAATGCACCCTTGGATAGAGGAGCACGTCATGCTTCCGGAATCCCCACAGCAGATCTGTGCAACACTTTCAAACATAGACGCTTGCAGAGTCTTCTGGTCTCCAAAACGGCCAGAGCAGATACACAAATGGACTTCAAAGTGAGTTTACCATCAGTCATACTCTGCGATAGACTTTCTTTGTAGTGGATAGAAACAGCAAGTGTGCGCGCTTCATCACCTGTTGGAGTTTAGCTACAGCAGGCATAGCTACAGCAGGAGAAGTCGACTGATTTGCCATTAGGGACGCCTGGAATCTCCACGTTGTCTTCGACAGAGATCGCTCCTGCCCGGTACCCGGGGTTGGTTAGCGCCAATTCGTGAAGCGACTTCACCACAGCATGACCACGCCAGACCACCGAAAGATAGCCGGCCAAGCGAAAAGCGCCGCGCGTAAGGTACTGCAGTATTTGCGGCTGTATAACCACCAGACTTCATCAAAGTGGATTGATCTCCCCTGTGCTGAGTGGGTTTTACGATACAACAGTGCATTCACCTACCCGCAGCTCTCTGCCATCTTTGGTCTATCTACACCGAAAGACGATTCGCCAATTCCAATTCCGAGTTAGACCTGGTTCTTAGTAGCCACCCCCGTACTCCCACAGCTTCCGACTTAGCTACGCCGCGCGCAGCAGCGCAGGAATGCATAAAGAAAACAGAAGGACGCCAGGCAAGGAACGGCACCGAACGGTATTCAGCATTCGCGCCCCACCCAGGTGACTTGATTTTACTGAATCCGCACGCCCTTCGAAGCTCGCATGAGCGCATGCAGCAAAGAAAGTTAGCCCAATAGCCAATAGCAACGACAGCATCAGCAATGATGCGTGGTTACTGATGTTCTATGGTCCTCCCTACACGAGAATATGCGCCTGCAGTAAACAGGCTGTTCGGCATTTCCCCCTCCCTCCCCACATGTCTTCTTACCCGCACAGCTCCGTACGAGCACTTGAACAGAGCCGTTAGGCGCCATCGATTTTATCAGAGGACCGTCGTTAGCTGCAGTAAGCAAAGGAGTTAAGACAGGAGTTCTGCAGCTGGCCCCCTCTCCAGTCTCCGAGCATTCTACGCATAGTGTTGCTGGGGCCTGTGGCTGTTACGGAGACGAGGCTACCGGTCATGAGCTGCAGCAGCTCTTGTTGAACCTAGCTCCAAGCCCAATCAAGCCTCCTTTGCGGCATGCACTAGCACCGCACATTTTTGCCAAGACTTACTCGGCCTTATACAGCCAGCTCGTGTGCAAGTAGAAATGCATGCACAAACATCAGACTGAACATGATGCAGTAGGAATGGGCCGCTCCGCAATGACAAGAGCAACAGCAGTCTGTTTGGCTATTTTGCCCTTCTCACATGAGTTCGACCTTTGTTGGCTTCGACCTTAGCATTCTTCCAGGGCCCTCCTCAAATTTCACTTCGCTTCCTAGGCATACCCGTCAAAAGGCTCACAACGTTGCACAGGTTGCAACTATCACAGCAGCGTGGTTATTTCTTCTTGAAGAGTGCCTTGCGCTTCCCTTTCACCTGCAAGTGATAAGAATGCATCGTGAGTCCAAGTGTTCCTATATAAAACAGCTGCATTGGGCAGAAAGTAGGGCAGCGGAACAGGTTAAGTGCGCAACCTGCAGCTGCAAAGGTGGTCCAGATGCTAAGACTGCCAAGATCACGTAGTGGATTTGGTCATTCAGTGAGCCTCGGAAGTACCACGGCAGGAATGGTTTCAACGCAACTGGAGATGAGTGCCTAGTGCGAATTGGTACATAGATGCCCAAGAATTCTTTAAACCAATCTGTTGAGCCACAACCCCTACCCCCATGCGCAACATTAGGCACCCGACGCTCCTGTCGTGCGTTTAACAGGGCGAATATGACGAAGACAAGAGCACCAAGTCCTCCCAGGTAAGGCGCGCCTAGCCAGACTGGCTGTGACTAACAGCATCGGGAGTGGAAGATCCGCAGTTCCATCTTTACTCTTCCTCCTACCTCCCCCTACGGCCCTCACTCTATTCTGCGAAAAAATGTTATGTTTCTGCCGATCTAATTCAAGGCATCGGCCACTCCGGACCGGTGTGACCCCTGGCAAAACCAGCCCTACCGAGGCACCACATGCCTGAGAATGAGTTACAAGCATTGGCATTTGCGGCCTCTAAGCCGCTGCCGAAGTAATCGCAGGCAGCCCTTCTGGTACGAAAGCGGTTATCGCTTGAAATGCTACTTGTTCAGAGTGGGGTGGCATCCCGAGTTCATTCAGATGGCGGAAGGACAAAGCAGTACTACTCGCTCTTCCTCGTGGTGTACCACCGCAAACTCATGTCCGGCTGCTCCTTTGGAGACTTATTCGTCAGTGGAACAGGAGGTTCTACCCCTGGTTCCTGTTCTACAGGCTATTTCGTGTGCACGTGATTCAACAAAATGGCGAGCGCAAGCTTATTTATAGCTCGTCTTCATGTTTTGGCTCCTCTTGCTGTAGCAGCTGTTCCTGTTCGATCTGGCGATTCAGCAAATGGTTGACAGCATCGAAAACAAATTGCGCCTCAACTGCCGCACCCAGATGCAAAGCCTCTTCATCTATAGCAAACTTGGGGTGATGCAGCCCGAATGAAGTTGGAACGTGCCCTGCCTTCTGGGCGCCGCTTCTGCAGGCATTTCGGGCAGCACAGAAACCAAACGGTACTGGAATAAGCGTGAGCAGATAAAGTAGATATGCGAACTTTAAGTTACGGCTGGGTATGCAGGAAACGCCAGAATATGTTCGTCCCTCCACCCACCAAGAAAAACTACCAGCAACCAGATACGCATATAAGAACAACAGATAGCATTAGCAATAAGCAGTCAAGGCATGGGAGAATCGGATAAGAGGAGATACTAGGAAATTCGCGGTGATGCGGGGCAGCCAACCCCGCGAATGCCCAACAGCACAAAGCCAAGACTGATGCGGATTCTCTTGCGGCAGAGTGGAGGTCCAAGGAGTTTACATGCGCAAGGCAGCGAACAACTACTGGTGGCATTCTGTGAGGAAAACCTCACCCAACTCCAATGAAAGCGAAAACTCCTGGAAGCCTGTCCAGCACGAAGGAAAAGTCTTCACCGCCGTACGTCGGCTCCATAGTTTCCACTCGACCACCGGGGAGTACTGCATAGGCTGCCTATAATTCGACAACCAGCGCACCAGAACCGCAGCAGAAGCAGTCATACCAACAGCAGCATGAAACAAATTTGTGACGAGCAGTAGTTCCAGCGATGCGACAGGGGTTTGCAATGGAGGAAGCAATTAAAGGAGGGGCAGAGTACATCGAGGCAGCAGCAACGAAGACGTACCTTTTTAAAAACCTCAAGGGCCTCAGGGTTTACACGAAGAGCCGGCGTAATTGTATCAAGACGGCGGACCCGTAAGCTGCAGCGGAATGCCTCGGCTGTACGCTGGACGACCTGGCGGAGTCGTAGTTGCAGCTCCCGCAATTTTTTGTTGCTAAATGCCCTAATTGTCCCCTTTAGAGTGCACTCAGACGGGATAACATTAAAGGCGCTCCCGGCCTGAAAAGGAGAAGAGGGACGTTTTCATGCCATCTTTGTCTTAATACCTGCTTCACCGCTACCTGATTTACTATTGCTAACAGCATGCGTGTCCTAGACTCGCAAGCAATCTTTTCGTAAGAAGTGACTAGGGGGGCATAGGGAGCCAGAAGCTGAAAGGGAACATCGAAACGTCCGTGCGTCTCTAACTTGGATTTGAGTGACGGACACGAATCCAGATGAAACAGCTGTGTAATCGTTTTCCCTAGCCACAAAGCTGTTTATATTTTGAACTGCAGAGGCGCACGCAGTAATAGGGTCGTGAGCCTGTGATGGCATCGCCCCATGACCGCCGGCCCCAACGACCTCAAAGTGGAAGCTGCGCAAACACTCCAGCGGCATAGCTTCCCATACAGCGCAAGCGACAAGCACGGACAAAACGGAAAGACCGGTGTTGCGAAGGTCAGGGTAGACAAACGCAAAAAAAGGACAGCGGCATACCCCGCCACAAACACGCAGCCCGGTAGGCAATAAGCGTGGACGGATGCACAGAAGGAGCATAAATGAAGCCGCAAGCAGGCATAAAACCAGGCAGGACGGTTGTTACTCGGCAGATGAAGGTCAGATCTGGGGAACAACGGAGAAAAGCCACAGCATGACATCACAGCATTCGAGCAACCGCAAAAAGTCAAGAAAACGCCTCACTTTCCAGTAGCAGCCATAAGGGGCCCCTCTCTCGAGGCGAAAACGCCAGTCGGTAGATCAGGAGACACATGTAGCCCCAACGCCAAAGTTGGTGGCGGATTTCGATTTAACAAACCCTCTTCGAGCATCATTTTGGCCCCCTGCCCCCCCTCTTCCGCAGGCTGGAACACCAGCCGCACTGTTCCCTGAGGATACACAAACAGCCAAGGCGCTGCACATCTCCGCAATGGGTACTGCAAGTAAAAGAAAACAGTACCTCCCGAGCCCACGCTAGAACGAGAAAACGCCCCTGAATAGGCTCTACTGAGGCAGGATCAAAAAAAGCAACGAAAGCTGGGGAAGCATTAAATTCGGCTGCTACGAACCTTGATAGAACCCTCATTTTTCTTTAAAATTGCTGCAGCCATGAGGAGCATTGTAGTGTGCGAATCGTGGCCACACGCATGCATCTTCCCCTCCACCTCCGATTTGAAAGCCACATCTGCCTGCATCAACAGAACATAAGGCAGAGACAGCCGTCACAGCAAAGGGCACACTGGTCGAATCCACCTGCAATCGCAGTCCTACCACCACACATGAGCCAGAAGCGGGTGGCTACGCAACAGTACCACCTAGACAATCAGCCATACGGGTAGTAGCAGGGGTGGCAGCAGCAGCTAAGCCGCAGAAGCAGCGGCAACACGGAGTACAACCACGCATATGAGCAGCTCCAGAAAATTCACGCAACTAACAATGATGACAGCACCTGCTCGTGAATAGGAAGCGCATCCATATCTGCTCGCAGTAAGACGCAAGGTGCCTCTCCTGTCCCGATTTCAGCAACAATTCCCGTCCCCACAAGCCCAGTGTTTAATTCCTGCCGTCGTTGTTGCTGTTGCTGCTGTTCTTGCAGTTGCTGCAGCTCCCTTGCATCCCCCCGCTCAGTAGATGGCTCTAGCAACGAATCATCCACAAGAGATGATCGGCGGTCTCTGCCCCAACCAGCCGTGTACTTTATCCCTAAACCCTGCAACAGCAGCAGCAGAGAGCAGGCTCATGCTGCAGTTCGCGGAAGAGGCGCAGCACAAAATATGTTACAACAGAGTTTCTGCTTTGGAGGCAGTAGTATAAATGCGGGAACCAAAGAAGTACCACAAGAAGCTGCTACTGCACACGTTGTTGGCACTGTCACTTTAGATGCTGGCTATTGCCGTTGGTGCCCGTGCTGCCGCTGGTTCTCTTCAGTATCGGCCTCACCGTGAGTACTTGCTGCACTAATGCCGAAGTTGACTCCTCCTCATACATCAGCTCCGGCTGCCTATGAAGTTGCCTGCGTATATTTACCCCCCACTCCTGTAGGGCAGCAGCTTGCTGCAGCACGCAGCTAGGGCTTGGGGGAGATCCACATGTTGGCAGGTCAGGGTTGCTGATAGCTGCATCTGTTGCTGCCGGATGCGCTAGTGCTGACGCTGCAACGAAACAAATCGTTAAAAAGTAGAGGTTGCGCTTGCTGTGCCGTAGAAACAGCATTCTCAAAACGTTGTGGTGCCGCTGTTGGTGCTGCTGCCTTCGTGCGTCGGCCTGGTGCTGCGCGCTGGCGAGATTGCCGGTGGCTTTACTATTTTCAGTCTTTCTCTGTATTCCCTTATTCTGCGTTGAAAGTGTGACAAACCGCTCAAGCCTCCCCGGGTTAGCCACCAGAGTTGACTCCTCTTCCCCGCATTCCCACGGAACGGGGGGCGGCGGGCGGGCGCTGAGCGCTCTTCGTCTGACTACCAACTCAAGTCCTTCAAATCAGTTTTGGCAAAATGGAGACAACATAAAAAAACACAGAAATCCAGGGAAAAAAAGAGGTACAAGCGCTTGAACATGGCTGCAGCAGCCACTGTGGTTGCCGGAGACACCATCGTCGTGGCAGGTGGTCTTTTGGCTGGAGTGGTGATACAGTTGCTGCAAATGCACGCCTGCGCAGCATGTGGGCCAAGAAATACCCATTAAAATAGGTATAAATGATATCATAAGTCATTCGAAGGACAATAATGGCCCCGTAGAGACGTTCTATATTTGGCAGTGGTGGTCAGCGCCCAACCCTGACAGTGGCCTGGGCCTCGAGGGCTCTGTTGTCTCGACCCGGCCCTTTCTTTCTACGCCCTTCCTGTCGACACGTAATTGCCAAAAAGACGGAATTCTTTGATTCTGTTAGATGTGTCGTCTTCAGCATCTTCAGTATATAGATAACAGTGTGGACACTGCTGCTTGTACTTCTTTGCTGGTCACCGCGCTGCGCTCCACTTCGCAGGCGTTGTTGCGGAAGGCTTATGAGTTTCTCATGTGGCTTTTGATTTCCAGCGAGTAGAGCGGTAAGGGTAACAGCAGCAGCGGAGGCCGGAATGGAACGACGCTGCATGGTACTGCGCGCTGTCCCCTACCTTGTGTACAGAGAGGCCTCTCTTTGGCGACGGCCGTCGTGAGCTGCGACAGAGTCAAAAAACTTGAGATAAGTGTTCCCAAATAACAGCTCTCTCTTCAAATCGTAAGGCGTCCTGTGCACATCGGCTGAAAGGCGTGGGGCTGCTGCAGAGAACAGGCGGCCGCACAGGAGTTGCCGCGCTGCTTGAGCCAGCTCCTGCGACAAGGCAACCGTAAATGCAAGCGAGCCCAAGCGACCTATTAATGGGTGCATTAACACAATATTCAATTATCGAGCACTTGCCAGCCTGCGCGCATTTAGAACCATACATACCAGCTTCACACGCACTAAGCGTACTGCAGTTTGCCAGTCCACAGCCAGTGCTGCCTTTCTCCCGTGCTCCATTCTTCGAGGAAGTTTTTTGTAACAGGTGCAAGACTAGGAGGCTGCCCTGCAAGGTCATCACCTTCCGTGATGTTTCCTTCCCTGGGGGGGTTGTTGCTGTCGCGCGAATTCGTGAAAGGCAGCTGCACCACGGAAGGGGGATCAATAGCAGCAGAAGCTTAGGGTGCTACTGGCGCCTGGGGTTCCCGCCCTCGATACGCTGAGGAACCGGTGCGGCTGCCGCTGAAGCTCCAACCCACTGCAGTATCAACACAAGTGGGAGCTGTTGCCGCAGCGTTCAATATTAAAAGCCTTCCCGTCCAGGCAGACGAACCAAAAGCACAACCAGAAAATGGTCGATACAAGTTACTGTCGAGCCCGATATCGAAAGATACCAAGCCCCTTCAGAGTGCACATAACAGCAACAACACCAGCAGAAGTAGAATCACGAACAATATCAGCACCGGCGCTGCGCGTATAAGCTCAGATGACTGTCCTTAGGCCATCATACTAAGTACCACAGCTGTTCATCAAACGCCCCCGAAGCCGCACATGCAGTGCAACAACTGAAGCAAGAGTAGCAAGCGAAGCACCTATGGAAGCCTTGGCGACGACAGAAACAGATAACCAAGAGTAGTATGATGCATATGGCACAACAATCTGCTTTCCTTCCACACTTCCTATAGGAGCATCAGCGGCGGGGAATGAGACCCAATACCAATATCCCTTTCTGCTGCCGCGCAACCTAAGATTTGGCCTAGCAGAGGTTTGAGAATTCTTACCGTAGGCCGGTTACCGCAACCGGGGCGAAGGGGAAAAGAAGGCAGCTCAAAGCACAGTTGAAGAACAGTAGGAGATTGCAGGGCGTAGGACATTCATTGCCAGCACTAACGCGGTGGGCAATGGGGGTGAGGGAGGTAGCCAATTCGGGCGTTGGCTCAAAACCTAAAGAGGGCAAGCATGAGGCACTAGCGTGTAAAAGCTGCTGCAACAGAAGTCCTAGTAGATAGGGAAAGGCAAGGAGCGCCAAAAGAAGGGGACGCAACGGGTGTAGCAAACATCTCAAAAAAAGACGAGGCTGAAGAACTACGGCAGTTTTGCGTTTCGCGATGGTTTGGCCATATGTGCGGCATGAGGCCGGCTCGCCGGGCTTTTGTTGCGTGCATCGTGGTAGCAGCAGCAACAGCAGCAGCTGCTCCCTCAGCAGACTGCGAAGAGGCTTGCATGCACAGATTCATGCAGGCAGCTGCGCTAGCTTCCCACAGGCGCATAATGATGACAGAATTCCACGCAGGCAGAGAAAGGAGGGAATAGCGTATAGGCCATAAACGCGAGCAGCCAGCGGAGCATGCCCTTGCCGGCCAGCAACAGGCTGTGGTGTGAGTGCCTGCAAAGGTACGGCAGCGCCACCACCAGGATTCATACAGGCATTGACAGAACCAAGGCGACGGAACTGTTGTCCCGCCTGCAGGAAAGCTCTTTGCAAGTTGGTATCTGCCTCAACAACTGTGCTGTGTACCTGTGCGTTTGAATACATGCAGTTACGCATGCTATGTACGGCATTCCCCGTCGCAAGGCCCCTTACTTAGAAGCATAATCTCCTATTCACCGCCAAAATAGGACCCCCTGCCCATCTCCACACACCTGCGTGCACGCGTGCTTGTGCGTCTGCATGCACTGATGCAGGCAAGTAAGGTGTGGACGGGCATGAAGTTCGTAGCGCGAAGCCTTGTCGGCAGTGAACTGGCTGTTCATTTGCATTGCTCTTCTGCCATCAAGGATCTGCACGCTTGCGTGTGCGCGTGCATGTGGAACGTCGCACTCCCCTGCATGCCGCCTGACGCGCTTTGAGGAGATGAGTGCAGATTGTGACCAAACGCGCACTTGTACTCGTTCGTATAAGTAGCATTCCAATGCATGTTTGGTAGATGGTGTGTATTGCCATGCGCCGATCTGCATAGAACTAATTTGTTTTGTTGCTAAGAGCCCACCAGTCCCGTATGCAGCAAGTTTGACTCTCGTAGAAGAACCTCTTGTTGGGTAGTCTGCCCGATTCCCTTTACAGTTGGCACTCAGAACAGTTGCCCTGCCAACTCAATTGGTGCATTGTCCGCTTGATGATGCCCGTACGGATCCTGTTCAGGCAATCAAAACGTTCGCAGCCCCGATATGGTATGCAACGTGCACTGCGCATACAGTGGTGATGGGACTTCCGACCAGGGAAAACAACCAATTCCTCAACGACTCGGCATTGGGGGACAACTGAGACAAATAAACATGCATTCACTCAAGGGGAAAGCATAAAGCTGACGGCTGAAATCTGCAGGGGAAAAAGTCGCGGGAACTGAAACGCGTGCTGTTCAGTGCAGCAAGGAGCATTCGGCTCCATTGGTACTTGACGGTGAAGTACCGGGAGCGGCGGCTTTAAGGACAAATAATTAGAAAGGGACAAAAGCAGATGGTTCAAGACGAAGTTGAGGGTGGCGGTGGAAACGCTACGGCTTCTGGTGCTTTTGCTGGTGGAACCCTTAGCCTGTAGCAGTGGCTGGCACGTTAAGACCACGCGCAGACTCAGCTCTACTTTACATCTGCTAGCACCCAACTCCCCAATTGTGAGGGCTTCCCTTCAAGGACATAAAGAGGTAGAGGGTGTGAGAAGTAATCAATACAACGGCAGCAGCAGAACCAGAAACAAGCCCAGAAAAAGCTATGGATGCAGCACTGCCGCTAGCTTGACGGGAAGGCAACAACAGCTAAAAGACTGAGCATACTAAGCACAGCCAAGCCACAACAAGCAATCAGAGGAAAGTAGCATATTTCACTGTTCGTTGCTCTGTAACTTCAACAAGGAGGCAGCGCCGGTCGTCAGGATTCTTCCCTGCAAGGGGAGGGTTAGCGTACAGCTCCGGCAAGTACACCGTGTACAGTGGCATAAACCTGAAGAGCCGCACACGAAGCAAGGAACCGACTCATTTTTATAGCTTTTCGTGGGCAACCAACTCACAATATTCTGGATGTGAGACTTCTTTACGTATGTTACTGCAGGATTTCCACGTCGCTAGAATATTGTACAGAAGTTCGAAGAAGTTCTTTGCGGGAAAGGGGGGGAACAGATGAAGTATAAAATTGGCCCCAGGTGTAGAGCATAACCGAGTAAATGCGAAGTAGTAGCAAATGCAGAAGCAGCCCACTAGAGGCCTGCCACTATACACGGTATACCCTGTGCTTCAGATGCCAAGTCTATTAAGGAGATTCCGAACATGAACAACATGCATGGCTCGCTTCAAATACATAAGTATTAGGGGCAAGCCTACACATTTTCTGTGCACAATGAGAATGAAGGAAGAGGCAGATTTCAGGAAAACAGGACAGAATTACGCAACATGGAGACGGAATGCAAATATTGCTTGGTGTGAATGGTGCAAATTCAAAAAAGCTAAGGGTGGCCGTGTTATTCTTACGTATGGCTCTTGTTTGTGTAAATGCAAATGCAGATCGGGGCATCAAATCAATGAACTTGCAAGCACCGCATAAATGCAATATTATGCATTCACCTATCAACAAAGCCGTCGACTTCGCCGGCAGTCATGCCCGATCCTGTCTGTTGACGCGTGTCTCTGCGAAGACGCCACGAAATAAGACAGCCTTCTGTGTTTCGTCCGGCTCTTTGAGCAGTAGCAACAACAAACAGTATTATACTGCCTAATAGGATTTCACGGATGCTTACTCTTCTTGTTGTCGTCTCCATCTATAGACCCAAGTTGGCGTTTCCACCTAGGGAAAAAGGAGCCAGTTACAAGAAGATGCTCCCTCCATAATCGTCGCGTTACTGTAGGTATGCGGCTTAAGGAGTTTAAAAAAGCCTTCACCGCGAGGAGTGACAATATGTAGCTGCATCTTTTGCCGTTGCCATTGATGTGACTTACCTTCACGATGAGCCAAAGGTCGATGAGTTCATAGAGAGGCTCATAGACCTTCAGCGATCTGCAACCCCGATGCCAAACACAATCTCAGAAGTAAAATTCACTGAGTGGCAGGCATTTCGCAACGTGCTTCAAACGCTTTCGTTGCGAAGCCTTTAAGAGGCATCCCTCACTAAGGGACCTGAAAATTAGCAGTAGCAGTAACTAGACCAGCTAGTAGCAGTTGCTGCTGCAAATGAAGCAGCTGCAGCATCCTGAGTAGAAGGTGAGGAGTGGCAGCAGCTTGCGAACTCATTGATTTGATGCAGTTCTTGTTGCTGTTCGGAAGCACTCCAATCCGCGAGTACGCTGGGATCCACATGACGAAATCCTGTAGACCCAAGAGAGTAAAGTAGCTGAATATAATGGAGCCTGCACAAAGAGAACCTCCTTCGGTTCCCCCTCCTGCCCGTGCATATTCTACAGACAGGAAGAAATATGCGTGGTTATGAAAGAGAACGCAAATGCAAGGAGATGCACTTGCAATTGGGCATGGGCGATGAAACACAAACTACGCGCATGCAGGAATCTACCCCCAGTGTACGTCTTTCATTGTATGTGAGCAGAGGCCAAGGCCAGGGCTGCAAATACCACCAATAGAACCTCCACTTTGACCCCTTCAAGAGTCAGCAGCAAAACAAGCTGGCACTGCAGCAGTAAATACAGCGCCAGCCCTCCAGCTGAGCAGCATGGGCAGCAGTGGTGACAGCGAGGGCAGAGCAGCACTGAGGCTAACCCAGCATCCATCCCTCCAGAAGAAACACGTCGAGGTCCGTCGCATCTAAAGGAACCTCTTCACTTGATCTATCTCCCGTTCCATTCATTTGGCTCTTGTCATACTTGGGCAGCAGGATATTCCTGAAGAAATGACACCGCAGTTGCAGCCGCGACGACCCCTACATCCTACAGAAGCAATATGTCATTCTAACCAAACATGCTAAATTTTTGAATGCCGCCGCAGCACTGAGCATGCGCGGCATTCTCCCTTCCTTAATAGGACTGCAAGCCCTGCAGAAGCATACGGCTTTCTCTCCTTGATGCACTGCAACACGCCGCGGCACAGGGTTAGGTCATGCGTGCCTGGAGGTCCCCGGCAAGGAAGCTTCGTCCTGGGGCTGGTTTCACCCCCCAAGATTACGGGTGGTAGAAGTTTAGTGGGCAAATAGAAATCATCCATAGAAGCTGCCGCCGCCTTAACGCTTAAGGCGCCGAGACCAGCCTAAAACGACACACAGCGATGCTGTTGCATAAAGTTTGCGTTACTGGTAAAGGATTTAGGATAATTGTGTTGAAATGACAATGGTGTGGCAGCTTGGCCCCAAAGGCAGCAGCTGCAAGCAGTACGAGACGAAAAAGAAGAGGCAGAATGCAAGAATGTATGTCACTGCGGGCGGTACCGCTCCCACGATCGCGTCTGCTGCCGCCATGCTTTTTCTTCAGCTGCGGCTGCTCCTGCTGCTACCCGAGGGGCCCTCGACCCTACAGTAACAAGGATAGGCTAAAGTCATCTCACGAGGAGGGAAGCGCAGAGTGTCGTCTTGCCACATCCTTGCGGCCCCGTGATCCCCACGATGAGAGGCAATTGCCCATTAACTGGGTCAGCTTGAACAACACGAACGAAGTTCATTTGCGCACAAAGTAGCAAAGAAGCAAAGAGAAAGGAAACAAACAAGTTACAACTAAAAGCCCGCATACACAAAGAAAACGTTCGGCTCCGCATGCATGCAACGTTGGCAGTTCAGGCTAGCTGCAGTAGTGAGCAAGAACAAGCCTGTAGAGCAGCAAATGCTTTCGTGCATGCACTTGAAAGTGGAGTACAAGGAAATACACTCTTCCATGTCCCTTTGCCGCCCAGAATGGATTAGGTGGTATACATATATATACGTATATGACACAGATACATTATACACATATATTATACATACGTATAGATATGGTCAAGCTTACCAGTCTCTTGACACTTGCGCTTATGTACTTCCACGGCAATCCAGCGAGTAAGGGGCCAATCCCCATTGGCTGCATGTTAAGTACAAGGAGGCGCAATCACTGCAAAAGCTCCTTCCCAACACACTATATCCTCCACTTCTTCGCGCAGCAAAATGAAGTCTGCGCTAAAGGTAAATGAGGCCATTAGAAGTACATCCACATTCTGTGCAAGCTGAGAGGAAATGAACCTCATAGAGAACGAAAAGGATGCAAATCTGTACGGCCAACGACAAAAGTCTGCAGCCAGGCATCAAATGTTTTAGCACCAGTGACCAGCGTACCTGCTGCGAAAGCTGCCGTTCCTGCTGCATGGGGATATCCATTTCGCGCTTTTGTACAGGCAGCTATGACTGACATCCGATCACGTTCAGTTCCCTGTCCTACGAGCTTCTCTAGGGCGCCGATTCTGTGCATATCCGGAAAAAGGGAAACACGCACTGGGGCAGACGGGATTGCTGCATGACGAAGGGCATGGCGGGGATTTCTGAAGCTAGGTAGCCTGGACAGTAATGCGGATATAGCTATTTTTGAAGGGATGATAGAGAATGCGGGAATTCTTCTGAGGAGTCATGGTGACACTCACTGCCTGTCCCCAGCCGCTGCCCAGTCGTCCATAGTGGAAATGTCAGAAGCTTGGGGTTCTTATCACCTGATTTCGACAACTATTTTCAGGTATTCGGGCTAGATATTGGAGATGAAGGCGTTTTGCTGCACTAATACCAGAAAACCCGGCCCACAGGCGAAGGAGCGGGCTGCAGTGGAAGTATGAGAAACCGCATGGAAGCGGCTACAGAATCGAAGCCATGAAGGACCAAAGCACTGTATAAAGCTCACAACGCAATGTTGCGCCAAAGAAGGAAAGCCAACGGGCACAAGTGAAACACGAGGGTCCGTCGTTGTTGCCAGCAGCCTCTCTTACGGGAGCGATGGCTCTGCGCGAACTGCCTCAGCATATCACAAATAATGGCACTACTGATTTGTATTAAGGGATATAGTGAATCTTTGGAGGGGAAAACTGACTGAAGCTCTAAAACTATACCGTTGCTCCCCCCGTAGTCCACCGGTCGTCGCCCCCTACAGCCACTGGACAGGCTACTCAGGCCTAGGGTCACTTTTTCTTTGTTGCAGCACAGGGTTTTCCATCTGAAATGAGAAACTATGGACATCAAACACCTCAAAAACAATTTCGTCAGAGCCTCGAAAACGTGACCATGTACATGCCACTCCTCTAAAGTTTGCTCGAATGTACGGCGCCCCCTGTACCACCGTCACTGGCTGCGCCCCCCTACCATACTTCCTCATTCTTGCCTAAATGATCCCTACTGACTAAATACAAATTGAGTGCAATTCCAGATGGATGGAAACTAACAGATACACTAGACAGATCATCTAGTATAATATATATTGTTATCTCCTCCTAGTTGGGGCCTTCAACCCAGGGTACGTGCATGTGCAAAGTTGCGCTCAAGCTAACGCTTCACTCGTTTGGCATCGTTGCGAAAAGCGTATCACGTGGCCGTCTCTGCTGACGAGGGAAAACGCATCCGCTCCCCGGCGTCTCACGCGGCATTCATCCACGCATCTGCTGTTTATGCAGCAGACCCACGCGCAATGGAATGTGCTTCCAGTAGATGTTGCACGGTCTACGGGTGAACCGCTAGATTGAAAGTCGCGAAATTCAACATTCCACAGGGAGATGGATGTCCTTGGCCAACGGGAAGGTGTCGGACAACGGCCCCTTCTTCGCCAACCACTTCGCACAGACGCCGTCAGAGACGATGCGGCCCTCAGCCTGCCACTTCTTGTATTCTTCTCGAGTGAAGGGTGTGAAACCCCACTTGTTGGAAGTAAATACTTTCTGGCGTCCGGGGAACTTGAAGGCGGCGCGGCGCAGGGCCAGGGAAGCGATGTTCACCGTTGACTCCTGTAGATGAGTAATGCAGCGCAGCAAACGGTAAGCAAACACATTCATAAACTTCACTCTTCTAAAGATTATCCTGCGGCTAATGTACACGAAAAGCATGCTCTACAGCATTACTAATGCCCACACAAGCCACACGCTATTGCGACAACTGCCACGCCCTTGGTCAAAGTAACAACGAGACCACTATGGCAAATTACAGACTATCCCAGAAGAACGGGTGTACCCTCCTTACCTTGGTTCTGATGGACATGAGAATTTGCCCAATGTTCACGCGCGCCACCAAACCCGTGGGCTTCCCAAAGGCTCCTCTCATACCTGTCTGCAGCCTATCAGCCCCTGCGCAAACCAGCACAAACGCAAGTCTGCAAGAACATGCAACAATGCTCCGCTCCAACTGAAGTACCTGCACCGTGAAAGGCCCAACTGGCACCCGATTACACCGCAGAAACATCAAGGGAACAAGAGAGAGGTGAATAAAATGCACCAGAAACGAGGCAAATCAAGCAAAGTACCATCTCTTGCTCGAGTGCACATACCTGCGCATGAAAGCATCTTGTTGATCCGGAGAACGTGGAAAGGATGGACCCTCATGCGCAAATGGAAGTTGTCCTTGCCGCAGTGCTTAATCATGTACTGAAGTCCATCAGACAGACAGACAGCCCAATGCCTAACCCATGCAACTCCAACACTACAAACAAAATCGGCCCCTGCTGGCAACTCGATAATCTCATACTACATAGAAAACAAGAACATGGCAACTCGACAATCTCATACTACATAGAAAACAAGAACATGGCAAATACCTACTACCTCCTAATAAATCAAAAATCAAGCATTTATACGTGAGATTAGAGGCACATTATAGCGGGCACCGGCAGTGGAGAACGTAAGCGCACTCGGATATCTGTCACTTGCTTATCTCCACAAAAAAATTAAAATGCAGAGAGAAGAGAGCCTGTGCTGCAATGATTGCATCGGTGCATAAGCACAGCAGGAATGCTGCTCTAGGGTTTAGGGCCTGCTTGCCTTGTTCGCGCAGACGCGGGCAGCCTCTAGGGCTTCTGATGAGATTTGCTCGTATTCATCAGAGACCAAATGGACAACACCCGGAAACTCATCTACGTCAGCCTTCTTGCGGCCCACGTCGTAAATGCGCAACTTGGCGTCCGGTACACCCCTGCAGAAGCGGGACTTGGGGTAGGGTTTGTTCTTGCAGTAACGGTAGCAGCGAGCTGGACGACGCCCCATTGTGACTGTTTTGATAAATCAAGCAAATACAGCAAAATAAAATAGAGGCAGCAGCCGGCCAACGCTGCAAAGCAACCAACAGCGGGAAACTGAGGCAACGGGTGCGCGTGTGGGGCTGACAGGGTAATAAGCACCCTAGGCAGATACTGCAGCTGCTGTAGATTAGAGCAGCTGCTACTTCTTCTCTAGACTGCCTTCTGCCTTAAACAAAAGAAAGTCTGCAGTCGCTTCTCTTGCATCACCCCTCCACTACAGCAGCAGCAGCCGCTGCTGCCGCCCAGGCTGGGGCTGCGGCAGCCGCTCTGGCCGTTGCTGTTGCTGTGGGGCGTCTTACTGAGGTTGAGTGTACCCAAAAATTAGTCGTTATGTCTTGTCTGATAGTTAAGTGCTTCAATTTTGCCTCAAGTATAATCTAGGAATGCCCACTTCCCTTCTAAGTTACTGCTTTACCAGCATTGCGCGGGCACGCGAAGCAGGCTGCATGCAGGTTAATTGCGCTGCTTTGCACTAGTACACTCCTATACTGGGCACGTACTGTGCATACCTTTAAAAAATTATCTAAACCAAGTGCTTACTGACAAGCAGATTAATTTCCTTCTTTGGTCGACAGGAAACCCGGAGTTACGATGAGGGCAACCAGAGCAGTACGAGTTATGCTATTCTCTGTCTTAGTCTTACCGGGTATAGCCAGCCATGCCTTAGGTTTATAAGTGTGCCCCCCCACACACACCAAGCCTCCCCCCAGCCCCCCCTCCCCGAAGCGTATGTTGCCGACTCAGGGCCAAGCAAGTATTGGACGAGTGTCTGCAGTGTTCATGCATGCGGCGGAGGGGGTGGGATTGTGCTTGCATTTGGAGTTGCCTTGTAGCACCAGTTACGGCGAGGAGCGTTGCAGCTTAGTAGAGGATGCCTCAGCTCTCTCAGTTCCGCACCTTTGAGCCAAGGCGCTCAGGGCGCCTGAGGATCGAAGGGGAGGTCAGCTGCTTGTTGGGGACTCTTACCGTATGTCCAGTGGCCTGACTGCACGCCATGACGTTCCTTGGACTAGATCGGGTACTATCCTTACACTTTGTTGGCCATATTCATGGGGAGAGGTGCAAGCAATGAATACAATCTCCACAGCAGGGTGGGCTGGCGCACAGCAGTGACTGGTCCCGAATGCGCTTCCAAAAAAACTACAAAAATGTTATGTACACTCCCCAAATCTCAGGACTTAGAATCCGCTTGTGTAATGGAAATTGATCAGGATCTGCCATCGGGCAAAGGGGCAGAGACTGGAGGGCTGCTATTATTCCCCGCTACTTCGATGAGAACGAGCCTCTAAGCATTAGTTCAAACATGCACGACAATATGGAGGGCGCAAAGGCCCTCCCTGCACCTGGAACTATACTGCCATTGCCACCGAAAGCATGCTACGGGGGCTTGTCTGCATCCGACTGTTCCCGACGTTTTGGGCTCTTGCATCCGGACCCTGAACCAGTCCCCATTCCCCCCGTCCTCCTTGCTAAAATTACAGACACCACACAAGGCAAATGACTGACTATTTCTATCAGCTGTTGCTGCAGTCGCTTTTGTTGGCCTCCTGAGGTCGCAAGCGGCCCCACCACCCCATGGGCCCAGCACGGCAGCTACGCACCGGTTACAGGCGCCACGCAATAACGGAAGTCCGCGGCTAGACAAAACTGAAGGCAAGTATGCCTTCTATATGATCGAGTGGATGCATCAGCACGCACAACAGAAGGACAGCGCCAGCAGGAAGCACCATCGCTTCTGCTGCTCCCTCAAACATGTCCACGTAACCGCCATTCTGAATGACGTTCATTAACAGAGCCGACTACTGCTGAGTCTTGAGTACCAACCTCAGCAGAGGCAATGCGTTTGTTTGGTTGTTCGGTTACTGTGAAGTCCCCGCAACAAAGCCCCGAGCACCATTAGCACAGCTAACTAAGTGCTATGCTGCAGCTAGCCAGCTAGCTGGCTGGCTAGCTAACTGGCTAGCTACCCGAGTCGAAACACTTGCATGATCAACCCGTAGTGTTTGCGGCCTCCTGCCACGCCTCCAAATCAAACTCGTCTTCTTCTGCATACTCAGGTAAAATACCTCTGAGGGAAGGCAATGAGACCACAGGAAATGAGACGCAAGTCGCTTAGGAGCAAGCCGCAACCTCACAAAAACGAAGAACTGCTTTCTATGGTTTACAGCCCCAGCTGCATGCGCCTGGGGCTGTGCACTAAATAGACGTATATGCTACCAACGAAGGGCAAATGCTGCGCCCGAAAAGCGAGGTGGAAAGCGTGTCACATCACTGTACATGCAACTACGTGTGTGCACGCGCCTGAGAGGAAATACGACGAGCAGCAACACAGTCTCACAGGCAGAAAGAAATGGACAAAGAAAGCGCACCAATTCATGTCAAGCAATCAATGCGACAGGACAGACGAACAAAAAGGTGAATGCATTCATTAACAAATATTCCTAAACACATAAAAACATGTATCTGTTTACAAGGATTGTCGGGAGATCAGCGGAAGCAAGGATAGAGGTTATGAAGAGGAGGCAGCACGTTGATAACTAAGGGAAACGGCAATAAGAATCACTCCCCTATTTTTAACAATGAATACACGATGAGAAAAAAAATTGGGACAGCGGAGAGGCAGCAGGCAAAAAGCCTCACCTGATTCTGCACTTGGCCTTCAGATCCATAACTTCCGCCGTCAGCGGCCCCAGCGCCTCAATGATGGAGGCGTTGCTGTAGAAAAAGCAAAGAAAAACACCGCAAAACGCCTCAGCGCACAAACACAAAAGCCAGGGGACAAATTTCACAGAAAGAACAGGCGAGGTATACTCAAGAAAGCAAACACACACAGAAAGGAGATGGAGCAGACAGATACACAACGCCACCTGTCCGTCAGTAACACATATGAAACCAAGAGAGAAGGCAATCATGCTTAAATTGAATACGCGCATTGCACACGAGAAAAAAGGCAAAAAGACTGCAAACTTCATGAGGTGACGGGAGATGCACGAAGTTGAACACAGATATCGGCGAGAGGAACGGAAACAACGTAATCAGCAAAAAAGAAGCTCAAGAACCGGAGAAAGAAGGTAAGACAGGCAAATGCACATCCCCAGTATTTGCTGCTGCAGCTGCTGCGAGATGTGCTGACGCACTTGTTCCTGTATTGCTGCGCCGTCTGCTCCAGCTGCTTGAGGGTGCCTGAGGCCTCTACCTGCACGCAGGTGGATAGCAGATGGACAAAGGCACATAAGCATGGACAAAACGTACTAGAGAAAGGAAGAAAGAACAATACAAATACAGGAAAAGAAGAGACAGAGAACGAGGATTCCCTTTGCATGCTGCGCCCTCCTAGTGCATACGCAGACAAACGCATGAAGGGGAGTAAAGAACAACGGATATGGAGAAGATAAAAAGACAGAGAAACAAGGAGATCCTTCGCACCTGCTGCAACTTTCGAGTCTTGCAAATGGCATTCTCCTCCTCGGTGCGCCGTTTCGTTGCAGCGACAAGTCTGAAAATAGGACAGTTAAAGAGAACGCTATTTCACATTCTTATACATCAAATAAATATAATTAATTTAATATAGTACGCTCATATTAATATATTTAAAAATAGTTCTCAAGAGCCAAGAGCGGCGGTAATAACAGTGACGGCATTCAGGTAAATAAAGATGCAGCAGGCGTTGAAAGGGAAAGAAGAAGAACAAATAAAGCCCGCATCCAGAAACGCGCAAGCGGACAAACGAAGCAGCAAAGAGTAGCAAAGAAGGGAGAACAAAGAAAACTGCTGGAGAAACGACACAAAAGCGAGGCCCCAACAGCAAGAACACATACACAACCCGCGGAAGAAAGAAAGAGAAAAAAACATCAAGACGAAGAGGTGATGCTACAAAAAGCAGCACGCCCCAAAACAAAGAAACAAAACTGCATCAAAAGCTAAATCTGCTTCCTTTCCTGCTTCTCCGGCTCCCACATTTTAATGAATAATGAAGAAACAAAAGGGAAGCACCAGCAAGCAGAATAGAACGAAAACTAAGCAATGAAACACACTATGCACAAACATCTAAACATTTTTGCTGCAGATTCAGAGGGAGAACCAACCTGTCTTTGGTTTGTGAAAGGTTTGAAAGGTGCCGCTGCCACGAAGCTGCAGCATGTGCATTCATTAGCTCGAGATTTACGTGTGCTGTTGCTGCATGCTGCAGCAGCTGCTGACAAGTCGCCACTGTCTTCTCCCACGCCTTTACATCTCCTGCCTTCGAGCCAGAAGGCACCGAAAAAGAGGTATATTTACTCAAATCCAACTCAGGAATCGGATCCCCTTAAACACGCAAACAACACAAAACCTACAAATGAAACACTCAACACGGCTTCCTATAATTATACATACTTACAAAACACCCAGCACTACGCGCATATATATATATAGGTACACAGATATATTTAGATATGCAAGTATATACATATGTGCGTCCATATATGTATACATGCGTATAAAAGCTCATAACGTGCATACAATGTACGATGCATATAAATATATATATATATATATATATAT